ACTGCAAAACACTTCAAATGGAGAAAAAAAGGTTAAGACTGACCTTATAAAATTATAAACTTAACAGATAATCAGATGTGAACATGTTTTCGGCTGTCTGGTGTGAGCCTCAAGGATCAGCGTAAAATGACAGTTCCCTGTGCCTAGAGTATTAAAAGAACTTCAACTGTCTTTGAATAAAATACATGTAACAGAGACCATACAGACGCACCATAAAAACGGGTGAAGTTAAACTTGTAACGTTCCGTAACCGTCAAGATCACTTCGGACAAAATGACTTGTGTACTGACAACACCTTAAAAGGCTAAGTTGAATTTGCCCACTGCAAAATCATCGCATATTTTTCCTAACCATGACCTGTGCGAAATTAATTCTCACGACTTTCTTTCGAGAAAAAAAAAATCTATCCAATGATTTCTCTCGTCATTGTGTCGTATTACAGACCTTAAACAGAAAACTATTCCCATAGAAATACAAGCGTAATACAAAAGGAACGCAGTGGCCCCTGGACAAGACAAGCCTCCGTGAGATTCTAGCCAGCGATGGCTTTACCCCAACCAATCAAAAGACATTCCCTCTGAGGCCTGGTTCAGTCATGTCATGTTAACTACGGCGACTGAATCAATTCGAAACAACAACCTTCGCGTTTGGCCCAGCCGGGAATATTAAACGACTTTGGACCGGCGTTAATGTACCTGCATTTTGAAGCTAAGAGAATGAATTTTTTTTCACCTAGAATAAAGATCGGCGTCTGAATTAATTCAGCGGGACTAAATTAATTTGTCTGAATTCGGTTCTTGTAAAGTATGGCGTCTGCACCGGGACAAAGACGAACAATGTTGGGACTGCCAATTAAAGAAAATGACTGAGTCAGGAACGTCAGGGATCAATCTAAAGTCTTCTAGAAGTGCTTGTTAAGAATACATTAACTGTGTATAATTCGTATATTTGTTTTAAACAAATAGAACAAAATAATTCAAGTGAGCGCGAGTATTTTTTCACTTGGTGCACAGAAAAAGGAAAAAATTATGAATAAAAGCGACAGCGATAAAGATAGAGATCTACAGTGAAACCTTCGGTCCGCTTAATAGAGTTTTAACATTCAGCGGTTACCCTGTACTGTGATTAAGATCCATGTTGTTATGGAAGCAAAGAAGGAAGCTAAAGAAGCTGTGCTGTACTTTGTGAAAGACTCTTAGGTGAACTTTGATAGAAATTAGCCAAATACTATAGAGGCTGTCCGCTTGATTGGGGGGTCCGCTTAACAGAGGTTTCACTGTACTCTTTCATGAAGAACAGGTATGAAAAGTCTGGACTCCCGCCGTTTGTGTACAGAAATTGAATTAAAATACCACGACGACACAACAGAGAGGACAGCAAAATAACGATGCCTCAGCGCGGAAACCGGTCGTTTCGATACAAATCGTTTCGATACGAACTCAAGCAGTAAAATAGCCCAAAAATTTCGTTGACCTAAGTACAGTCTTGCGCTTGAACAAGAAAAACATTTTGGGTGAATATTGTTCGGTTCCTCACGCCAAGTACGTGGAACTATTTACACCTCGACTGAATAAACTTGTAACGAAACGGCTGGTATCGAAACGACCGGTCACGCTCAGCACAAGTGTCTTTTGCATATTCGGTACATCTCTCGCCGTTTTTTATATAAGAATAATGTGAAACGGTAAACTTAAGTTTTTGTGAAGCGACAGGACGGTAGATTTTACTCTTCAAATATGGACTTTAAACTTCTTCAAATTTACACCCCGGACAATTCAGTTACACAACAAAACGCAGACAAATTTAAACAGTTTTCAAATAATTTTAAGGAACTATAAGCGAGGTTTCCTCTGCAGCAGCCGTCGTGGTAGCCTAAACCCTCAGACGTAGGTCTCTAATGAGTTCGGAGGTGAAAGAAAAATGACCATACATGTACATCCACTTTCTGACAAAACAGTCGAACAACGGCTCGCTGCTACATCATGTCACAGCTCTGAAACTCAAGGACAACTCCCCTCTTGTCTTTAAATGCGATGACAATACACGCTTGTCAGTCCAGTTCAAAAAGTCTTTTTCACAGCTCCTCCGTCCCTGACACTAGTCTACTCCATTCTTCTCCACTTCCGCAGCAACGGCGGGTGCCTCGTCCATTGGTATTTCACCTTCGCCACCATTGAAGGACTAAGAAATTAAAATGTTATTTGTTAAAAACATGGAAAAAAGAAAAACAAACAAACAAACAAACAAAGGGTATCATTAACAGGAATGCTGAACTTCCCTTGTAATTTAGTTGCACACGACAAGTACGGTGAATGAAAAAAAAAGGAAACTTGAGTTAGACTCGCCACAGCTAGGGGCGTAGCCAGCCCATAGACCTGTAGGCCCGAGCCAACAATTTTTGGTTTGATCACTCTACCGCTTGTAATAAATTATGCGTTGTTGGGGTGGGGTAAAAACCTTAAGAGCTCAAAGTGTTGGTAAGGTCAGTGCTTACTAGTAATGCATGCAGTTTTTAGGTTGTGTAGAAATGAAAGTCAGCCAGGCCTACAACTAGTCGGAAAGCTGGTTACGCCCCTGACAGCACATGTAATTATAGGTTACAAAAAAAAAACTGAACGTTCAATACATTAACTGACTAACCAGACCGGTTAAGTCGTTAAGAGAATTTCATTATAAACCATGACACCACGACTATCCCACCAGATCAGTTTGTTTACAGCTGAAAAGTATGCAGGGAAGTGATAGGTAAAAACTCTCGAGAAAAGCCTATCTCACTATAAAATTACCGGTCCGGCCTGCCAGGCTCTGAATTTTGTGAAGCACCCTCAATAGAAAGAACCTCTTCGTACACTGTACTAATTTATAAATTAATAGGCCATTTGAATGATGGGATCATTTAACAACAACAACTACTACAACTAAAAATACTGCTGCTGCTGCTACTACAGTGCTATTACCACCACCAGAATCCAATTCGTGTTTCCTTTCATATTTGATTATTTCTATAATCCCAGCGGGGTTTAAATAACCACAGCCCTAATTTGCACAAGAGGGCAAAACCCTGAAGGATTATGGTCGTAGTAATAAAATGACGTCATCGGGATAATTGCCTATTTGCAAGCTATAGTGTAGTTGGTTTCAATTTTACAATATTACACTTCATCATTTTAATACAGACTTGCCCAAAAGACAGAGGCCTCAGTTCAGGGGTAAAAAGCCAAGCAAGTGTACTGTGAATACCAGTAGTGCACAGGCAAGACCACTACTTATGAAGGTCTTCCCGCTTCCACAACATTGTGATTTGCATAAAGAAATGGCCTTCGCAGTAAGCGTTTGCAGTCTACTTCTATGGTTAGACAATGTTAGTAGGTAACTTTTCTTGTCTACCTTAATAAGCTGCTCTTGACGTTCATCAGCTGCTGCCTCTAACTTCTCCGCTTTTGTCTGTGCCACTGCCTGGGCAATGGCAGCTTCTTTTTCCACTCGAGCATCATTTAACGCTCGTGATAACTGCATCAAGGAGTTCATGCGAGCTTGTGCTAAGGCCTGGAAAAGGAATTTCGGCAAAACTTAGTGCGTCCTGTCCTTTATTACCTTCTTGTAATCAAGCGGTTAAGAGGTCAAACTTGCAACATGAATGCGATGCTTTCTCCCTCAGATAAAATTATCATAGCTTACAGTGTGCAGAAATATTTACTTGATCAGTGCCATGATTGGTCAATTAACCCTTTAAGTCCCGATAGTGACCACCATCAATTTTCTCCTAATGATATTCGTACAATGTCAAGAGATTAGGTTATGAGAATTAATAAAATGATCACCTAAGAGAAAATGCTTGGATCTTTTGTCAAATTCTCTCAACTTATTCTTTAAGGAAATATATAGAGATCAGTTAGGAGAATTTGTATGTGGATATTGGGGCTTAAAGGGTTGATGGATTTTGTATAATTGGATTAACTTTTTCAATAATATCAAACACAAAAGTTATCATGAAGACGCCTGCTCAGTTACAGGTACAGATGTACCATGTTTTCATAACAAAAGACATGGTTGCTATTCTACAGGGCCAAGAGTCTGATCACTTCCATTAAGTTTTAATGCAAAACAATGATGGTTTGACTACATGTAGGAAACAATGGTTACAAGTGTGCCAGGCTGTAACCAGGGTACTTGCCATTTACATGGAAAAACTGGAAATTTCAGATAGAAATTCAAATGGTTCACCCCATTCCGTTTGGGAAGCTTCAACTCTTTTTAGGGGGTGTTTACATGAGAAAACTCGCACCGGCGCGAGTTTAATACCGAGATGACTTTTTGACCGTGGCAGGACTAGCTCAGTCGATAGAGCGTTTCACTGCAAAGAGGGAGGTCGCGGGTTCGATTCCCGGGGCCGGACCATTACTCAGGGTCTTAAAATGACTGAGAAATGAAGGTACTTTCTTTGCACTGCAAGCGGCGAGACCTTCGCGTGGCTCGGATGACCACGTAAAATGGCAGTCCCGTCTCCATTAGGAGACGTAAAATATAGCGTCCCCAATTAGCACTTTTGTGCTAAATACATTGACACTCAAATAAAAAGTGCATAAAAAAAGTGCAAAGTGCATTTCTTATCGCATTTACATGATGACTGGGTCATTTCATATCCCGTTATTTGAAGGTACACTTCATATTGATAAAATACACGGGTGACTCAAAATCGCAAACATTACGCATGCGCTACCCGTTCCAGTCTACCGGCAGACCGATTTCACACCGAAACAGGTTGTCGTTTCGTGTTTACATGATACCGCTGTGAGATTTCGTACCGGAGTGAGATTTCCCCCCCCGGTACAAGAACCGGGGTGAACTCATGCCAGGGTGACTCACGCCGGCATGACATTTTGCGGTGGTATCATGTAAACCAATATAGAACCATGAGAGGGAACCGGAGTGAACTCGCTCCAGGGCGAAAGTCGCCCCAGTGTCATGTACAATGTAAACACCCCCTTACCCAACTGATTTGGATATACCTTGTAGCGGGCTGTTCTCCCCACACATCAAATTTTATAGTTTAATTCTTTCACACAAGATTTCTATCCGGCAGTTTTGTGTAAATAGTAAGCACCCGAGGCTAACTAAGGTCCGAGAAATGAGCACAGAAATTCCATACTGATCACGTGTTACTACCCAGATCGGGGTACTGCTTCTGATTGGTTGAAGCAAGTTTCACAAGCGGCACGACCAACCAGAAGCAGTACCTGATCTGGGTAGTGACTCGTCATCAGTATGGAATTTCTGCGCTCGTTTCTCAGGCGACATTTCAGAGGGAAATCAGTGGTGGCATCGCAAAATGTTGGCTGTTTTCTCAGGCTCCAGGGGAGAGTGGTGAAGGATGCAGCCTCCCTCCGTCCCTCCCTTTTTCCTCTCCCCACCTGCCCATGCTTTCTAGCTGTCTCTTCAACCCACAGAACCCCTGTTCACAGGTTTCAACTGTACCTCCTTCTTTTCAGCTTCAGCCTGCAGTTTGACTTGCGTGACAGCAGCATCTTTAGCCGCCTCAGCTTGAATCTTGGCATGTTCAATCATCCCCTTTAACTGCTGAGCTGTATTCAACAATGAATTCACCATCTATAAAGACAAAGTGTAAACCTGTCAGTTGTCAGAAACTGGCCAGATGCCATAACCAATAAAACCACTAAAGCCTGAAAACCACTAAGACGTCCCGTTTGTGATTTTCCCCACGGACGTCTGCTAAACAGAGCCGACTTTTACGTTCTTATTTTTTCGGAAGTTGTGACTGTAAAATAATCTGCTTTTCTTTGAAAGACTTCAGACAACAGTCTTCCACACGAGCGCGGAGCGGTTTTCAGCGCGGTCGAAAACAATAATTACTATTAACTCTGTATATATTCGAAGTATTAAGAAAAGAGAACTTGTAAACGTGTATAGGGAAGATATTCAAAGCATTCTTCGAAAACAAAGGCCGTTTCCTTTTTTGCGAAATGTAATTCCTCCAAGGTCATGGGTCGCGAACCAAGGACCAGTACGCAAAATTTGGTTATATTTTTTCAAGAGTCGGTAAAACAAAAATTCGAAGTCTACAGCAATTTCCAACGGCAGAAAAACGTTTATCTGAAAACTTGTTCTGCAAAAAGGCACGTCCTCCCATTGCGTTTTATTTATTCACAAGCTAAGTAAACATGACCACGGTGCTGCCGAGTCCAAACTTCAAGCTAGAACGACAAATTAACCTACCTGTCAACAAACTTTAATCTCGCTCCTTCAAAGAAAGAAAGAATGCTTATAATCAATAAATCATTGAACCTTTCATTGTTCATTGTATTTTATTTCTCGACGAAATATTTAATCATGCTCGGGAAAGTCGCCGACCAAGGACCACATACTAACTGTACAAGTCACTCGCTAACATTTCCTCCACCGATCGATCTTCAACCAAGCTTCTGGGCTTCCGTAAACAACAGAGAAAGTCCCTCTATCGGCAACCCTCATATTCTCTTTGCTAATATCACTGAGCGTTACAGCAGGAATACCAATAGTTTCCAGCTTTGTAGATTGATCTTTCAAGATTTACCAGGGGAGAAACAACATCAACAGTAATGTCCAGTAGTTCCACGCAATATGTCGCAAACAAGCAGCAAAGCTTGAGAGATAAGGGATTTGCCAAATCCCGTCGGCAAATTTATGAACTCATCGGTCTTCGCTATAAACATTTGCAGGATAGCTTCTCTCTGATACTTGTTTAACTCTGTATTAATTACAAATTTCTCGCACACGCGATCAAAAGCCTCACTGATCGTGCGAATCTTAAGAAGCGGCTCGGGTTACGTTTTACAAAAATCTGTAAACGGCCTGTGATTGGTGAACGTAAAAGTCGACTCTGTTTAGCAGACGTCCGTGGGGAGAAATGAATGCGTGACAAACGAACCCCAAAGGACGTCTGCGGGGAGGCTAAGTGAGGTCATTATTACTTTTTTCTGTAACACCATTTCCATTTATATAATTATCGCAAAGCTGAAAGTTGCACATGTGGTGGTAAAGAAATTATATAATTATCTTGATAAGCAAATGATCATAAAGCATTAAAAATAAAAATGATTTAAGGTGGATGACAAAATAAGAAAAAAAACAGGAATACAAAATAATAAGTGTACAAAGCATGGAAAGAATAGCCGACATTCAACATATTAAAATTCTAACATGACTTCGAGGCTTTATGGACAAATTGCAAATAAAAATTTTTCAAAACTCCATTGTCTTGCAACTCCCAGAAAGAGACTCGAGCACAAAGACAACCAAAGCAAACTAGAAATATGACAAAAAAGCCTTGGCGGAGTCTTGTTAGAATTTTAATATATCGAACGTGGGCTATTCCAATTCCAAAAGGTGACGTCCAATAACCATCAACTACACAAGAGTACAAAATGATGACCTGTCTTTGTCACTCATAAATTTGTTCAGAATACTCAGTGGTCTCATTGCCACAGAGGATCCTTCACTAGATTTATCTCCAGGTATACTCATGATTATTAAAAACTGAGTCATTGGATAATGCAATTCTAGAGCTCTGATTGGCTTAGCCAACATGGTATAACCACTATACCACGCTCTCCAAATATGGTAACTGTATGCCTCTGCTTAAAATTAAAAACAAGCTGAAAATTGGTTGTTTTTACAAATAAAGTCAGGAAGAATTCTCGATATTTTGTGGTCGTTTTTAATAAAACAATCATTTCACTCACACTTATGGAATACGAGATGATCATAGCCAACTGGGCACTACACACCTTGTTGGCTATCTACCATTTCATATCCAACACACACTCATGGAAAATAACTGTTCATTAGACAGAATGTACCTCTTCAATATGCCACCAGTGTCGTCTTTGGTCTGCAATTCCATCAGCTGTTGCAAGGGGTGTGACTGGTAATGTGACAGTGATAGTCTGTGCCTCACCAGGTCGCACAGCTTGATTTAGGGTAGCGGGACAGGGACTCATCATGGGAGTAAGGGGTGTGGCTGGGGTATGTGGTGGCACTACACTTGTAACAGCACTTGTCACTGTCACCAAACCACCTGACAGATCTGAGAAAGAAACAGGTATACAAACTCCGTTTTAATGAGTTCTTTACCCAATAAAGTGCTCTGAAGGGAATTCTCTGGATCAAAAGCTTTCGGCAAACATTTTTGAACTGATCTTTAAGCACATAATGATATGATTTATATTTGTTTTGAGTTTTGGACTCAGGACTTTATAGAGTATTATTAAATCATCAATTTCTTAAGGCTACCAAAATATTCTGTATTCACCTTTGCTTCTGTGATGTAAAACAGTCTCATTCATATCAGGTGATAAAACACTAACAACTTTTTTTCTTTTTTGCAACTGTAAACTGTAACACAACAAAATTGTGTGGCAAGTTGAAAGAAAATTGCCTAGCGTAACAGGGCTTTATTAAGTTTACAAGATGCTGGGACGCTAATGTTTTAATGTATAAAAAAAAAACCAAAACAATTACACACCTCCAGTGTCCATGACTGCTCCTTCATCATTAGATGCAAAAGCTCCAGAGGCTGAATCAACACTGAGGACAAATAAAGGAAATAAATAAGAAATTCCAACTGCAGGATAATAGAGAGATTTAGAATGATGTTTTCGGTACATTATTTTAGGACCATTTTTATCTAATCCAAGTTTTCTTTCCTCTCAAATTGTTATGGATGCAAATCCAAATGAATTACATGTATATGACCTTGAAAATAGTTTCTTCTTTTTTTATTCGAAATGAATTGTTTTAATTGAAATGAAATGTTTGTAATTTGAATAATTTCTGTCTAATGAAATTAATTTTTTTTCTAATCAAAACTAAGTGTCTTTTTAACGAAAGGAATTGTAAATAGTGTTTTGACGAAATAGTTTTTTTTTTACAGTGAATTAATTGTAAATAGGATTTTAATAGTTAGTATGATATCAATAAAAATTAATCATGTAGGCCAATTAACTACAACTTCATTTGTCACAAGCATAATATACACACATGTAGATTTGAACATTTCTCGTCATCCTGCAATCTCTTAAAAAGGACACAGAGGAAGTGAAACATTCTTGAGATTTGCAAGGTCAGATATTAAAAGCGAACATTTTTAAAAAGTTCTGTCTACATCTACCTGGAAAGCATTGTCATAACAGTCGTGAGTTGGGTGGGTGTTTTCATAATATATGTGGGGATGAAAAGCCAAAACACAATATTTGTGTACTCATTTGTGGTTGGGACTGAATTTTCTCCAGAAGCACATGTAGATTCAGTCCTGTTCTGTTTTTGTTTTAGTTTGTCATAATCATGAACTTGAAGTTGACATTTTTATTATTTTTATAAACAAAAAATAAATTTCTTGTCACAGTGCCAAAAAATGCACTATCATTAACTAAGTTTACCAAATATTTAAGTTTACGTGAGACATAAATCTTGTACCCAGATCTCTTGTCAAAGAAGCCAAAGGCATGATCTGAACACCCGATTTATCCAAGTGATCCCCTGTCAGGAATGTGACAGACACACACTAAAACAGTGCATGCTTGAAATAAAACCTTGAAATGGTGGCTGTGTTAAAATTAATGACAAATTTAATAGAGCTGTGAGTTTGCTCTGACAAAACTTGGTTATCCGCACAGCCAAGAGGAAATTTCAAAACATTTTTTAAGGTAAGATAAAAAGACTGTTTCACAAATATATTGAGGCGGAAAACTATTTTTTCAACAAAAATATTTTTTGAACACAACTGAAGACTTTGCAAAGACTAAATTTCATACACCATAGCACTTTCAGGCAGATCACAATCTAGCCAATCAGAAAAATTGAATTTTCTTACTTGACCAGATCTTGCCCTCGGCTTTGACAGCAAGAGATCTGGGTGCGAGATTAATGAGATACTATAATACCTTACAGAACGCATCATAAAACCATGAGCTAAAACAGCAAAACAAGAAAGACAAGAATTAGTCTGCATGCAAAATACACAAGCAAAATATGTTTTATCATTAAATAGTCTCACTCTCACCTGATGGACACCATGCCTGTTTTAAGCTATAAATTGACATCTTTGAGATTACATACTGTATTACTGTATGTATGTAACACTAACTACTGTATGTGTACATGTTCTTAATCATGATCTGTCATGAAGAAGACATGACATAAGCTAAACTTGAGATACTTTGTTACACATACAAGGAAATATCTTGCAGGGGAATAATGCTATACATTTTCAAATAAGGTGGCTTTTTTTTCAGTTAACATCTTAACATTGCACTCTCACCAAGTGATGCATACTGAATCAACGTGTTCATTTTTATAAAAATCAACAGTTGCACAAATGTACATGTCTATGCCCTACATGTAGAGGACATTTTACATCCTATTTTGTATGCAAGTAATTCTGTGGCTTTTCTTTAAATACATGTAACAACACACTAGAATGTTGTAAATTACTTGTTGAGAGTACCCATCTTTAACCTGGAATCTTTACCTTCACGTCTTGAGTTTTCAGAACTAAGGGACAAACTTTTCTTGAGAACTGGTGATCCAGACTGTGAAGATTCTCGCTTACGACGTTTGTAAGGGACAAACAATCTGATTGGTCCAGCCTGAAGTACATCAAAGGCATTATTGTTATTGATGTCAGTAAACCTATACATGAATACAGCTTGTTTGTGGGACAATTGATCACAAGGCTGTGATCTATCAGCACCCAGTGGCTCCTGGTACCTAACTTTGCTCCTGGGTAACTAGAAAATCATAGTTTTTTTTCATAGAAACCATATGCTGGGAACCCTGGATTTCACAGGCTCAGAGTGATAGGCTCCCTTCAACTTTTTCTTAAAGAACAGCCTTGAATCATGAAGATTTTGACTACAATGAAAGTAAAAAATATAAAAACACCTTTCATGGCAAAACACAATAATTCATTGGACACTATAAAGTTTGAGGGAAAAGAGAATGTCAAAGTGAATGTTCTAAGCCCAGCATTGTCAGACTTTTTATTTCACTAGCATTGAAAAGACCAAACATCAGTCAACACAATTTGCAACAACTAAAGGTAACTCAATTTTTTAAAAGAGAACTTACCAGAGTATCATCATCACAGCATGTTGCACATGTACAGGAAATTGCATGAGGAACAAGGACCCCATCTTCAATCAATGATTGCAGGGTACGTCCACCATAACGAATGCTCCTCTTCCAATCTTTAGATGATGCCCTCCCACATCGAGCTTCAAATTCTGAGGGTGTCATCCACTGATCTTGATACTGTGCAGGAAGTAGCATATAATAAAGGATAATAATAGATTAATAAGGGTGTTTGAGATGTATTAAAACAGAAGTAATAATAAGTCACAATAAATTTTCCGGCACTGATCTGATTTTTTCCATAGACCTGAAAATAAAACAGTCTGAAGTGTCAGCCATCTGCTAGCCCCAACTCCCCAAGGGTTCGAGAGAAGAGATTCTCTAGCCTAGTACCTTGGACAATCCCTTGATTATGTAAAACTGACCAGCTGTATTAAGCAGTCACTAATAAGCTGTCGCTAATACCTTTTCCAAAAGCCCAAGAGTTATGTTATATTCAGGCCATCTGATAGGGTGTGATAAAAAATCAGAAATTGTGTGATATTTTCCGGGAAGATTGTGCAATAAGATAGGACTATTATGCGATAAATTATGTGATTTTTTCAGGGCTAATTTACATTGTTTTACTCGGTTTCAAAGGACAAAAACCACTTTAATGTTGTTTAACGGGCAATTTGAATGTAAAGGAATAATAAAACATCTATTTAAAACAAAATAGTTAAATTTGACCCGCACAAGAAAAAGGACACTTGCTTAATATTACATGACGCCCATACACCGCTGACCACACTGCTTGTTTCTGAAATCAAAATGACTGCCCAGATATCGTGATCGAAGGTTTCAGATGTCCGACCTTGCAAGGCTTTCTTTAGTGGAAAACCACCTTAAATAACATTAAGATTGGGAAAATGGATTAAAGTTAGAATTCATTGTTTTCTTTACTTGAATTTAGCATTTTTTACGAATTATGCGATTTTCCTCAAAATGTGCGATGAGATGCGATTTGAGGTCAATTGTGCGAAATCGCACCATCACGTAATATCAGATGGCCTGTATATTGTTTGCACCTCTGTTAAATGGTCACTTTGTCAACTTGTACCATGCTAATACAGTATAAATACTGAATGTGATTTTTTGTGTGCTCTGATCTTTTGCATCCTTTCTTTTGACACAAGAAGAGTTAGAAACACTTTGAGTTCAACTTGTTGTGTGAGGGATATTACTTTGCTTAGTTGCCATTTTCATTTTCTTAATCTACTCTTAGACTTATCAAACCTTTATTAAACGGTCAACCTGTACTCAGAAGTCTTGTTGGTTATAGAGCATTTTCACTCACATGGCCAGCATATATGCTAATTTATTGGAACAAAAGAAAGCATTTACATGAGAAAAGAGTTCAACTCCCAGAAGATTTTCTGGGTACACCAACATAGTCACCGTTTTATTGTTTTGGAACACCAATATGGCCACTGTGACGTCATGTGAAAACACTCTATTTCCCAAGGGTGACCACTAAATAAATGTTTGGCTATATATGTTTTTTAGAAAGTACAGGTACATGTACATGTTATATCAAAGGGAATGTGTGACAAATAAATAGCACATTCTAGTATGTGCTGCTCTTCTGATCAATTTTATCCTTGGTTCAAACTCTATATACCGTGTGACATGAAATTCTTGTGGGTTCTAGTTTTTGCAATTTTTCCAGCCATCCGCAAAAATAAGTTCCCGCAAATAAAAATTACCACGAACATTTTTCCCACAAAAATTTACTCCAGAGAAAATATTCTCTAACTTAAATTCGCTACACAAAAATACAGTAATAAGAAATCGTGTCAGTTCAATATTACAACATGTCCCTTTTGTTCAGAAACAGAGCAGTATACAGTAAAAAACCGGTTAGACATACAGCTGTAGGGTACACACACCATAATATCGTTTGAAAGATGTAATTTCTATTACATGTACTCAAAAAACGAAAATATTACCAATGCTGGGTACTGGCTACTTTCTGAAAATCACAAAAATTGATTCCCAGCAGGAAAACCAATCTGTCCTAATCCAGCGTTCCAATTATTCTTTCAAGCGGGGGATCATGAAGACCATCTGAGAGGACACCAAGACCACGTGCTAATTCTTTTAATTATACTTAACTTAATACTTATATGTAAACTATCGGGCCAGGAAGCCTTCTTTGTCTGGTCATTGACCCGAGACCCGTCTCTTATCTGGAAAACTGCTAATAGCAAAAATCAGTGCCCACAAAACACAAAAAATCACAAATCTGCAAAAATAAACTCCCACAAAAATTTCGTACCACACAGTTTTTTAAAGTGTGAAAATGAAAGACCATGAGTATGAAAGAAGGATAAATTGAAACACAACATGTACCTGAGTCTTACTTATTCACCGCCCACCCTCTCCTGACCGGGGTAGCCAACTTAACTGTATAAAAAAGCTAGGGGAAACTGTGTTGTTAAACATTAATAGAGGCCTTTACAGGAATCTTGTGATGCATCTTCAGTAGTTTCAACACTTCCTTCTTAAATGGAATAAAATTACGTGCAGCCATACAAAAGACATAGTGAAACACATCTTTAATTTACATAATAGCAAAACCCAAGCCAAGGCTTCGTTATTGATACTAAAATAAATGCTAATAAAATTAATGCTCTGTCGGAACAGTCACCAAGTATGTCACCAAAGAAAGATAAAAATTCCGAACAAGGTGTCAATATGTCGTTTAATCTCGTTAAACGTTCCTGTGACAATATTTCATATATATTTTCATCAATGATATTCTGTCTTACGAGTTAGGAATTCCTGCTAGATAATTAGTTATTAAGCGTAATAAAAATTGCAATTTTGGTCAAATAAGCAACAAGCGATCTGCTTATAAAAATTTTGCAAGTTAACTAAGCCTATAGGGTGGCAATTTGGCATTAAGCAAAGAGGTTTTGAAGCACAAACTTGACAATGCGCAACTCGAACAAGCCACCTACAACGCGACACAAACAGGTCATGCACGCTGCCTTAACTATAAGATAAGCTTAATTAATAAGGGCTAAGTGAAACAGTGTTGAGTTTGAAAAAATTCTTACCTTTATACATTTTCCACGGCCTCCAGATCCCAGCTTATTTTTATACAACTCAGCTGTTTCGTTTCGACAGCGCACAATAAGTACCTCTGCGTTCAACGCTCCTTCCCACGGCGATTTTGGGGTAGCTCGCGATAAAGGGGAGCTTTCATCTTGTTGGTTTGCGCCGGACATTTCATCTTGCTCGGCTTGTTGAATCGTCGTAACGGCTTGTGAATCTTGCAAATTCGGACTGGAAGACCTCGTTGAATGAGAAGGGCTGTCTGCAATGACTTCCTGGATTGGTTGCAGAGTGGACTGTGAAGCTGCAATGTGTGACGCTGCTGCAGCGGGGGTAGCGAAACTGATGCTGACATTTCCATTCGAGACCTTCACAACTTGCACTTCGCATTGCGGATGGCCACCAACATTCCCACTCGAAGCTTCTTCCCCTGTGTGGAAGACAGCAGTTGCAGCCGTTTCGTGTTCAGTCGGGATGTGCTCGGCGATGGCGATCTGCTCGCTGACTTCAGATAACGAAGACACTACCGATAATCCTTCGCTCGTCCTCGGAACGCCAACGTTGTCGTCCATTGTTTTGCCTTGCGGGAGCGACGGTGACCAATGTTTTGGGACTGGAAAGCTTCAGAAATAAAATGGAATCTCAAAATAACTCGCTGAATTGTTCTTTGACTTGAAAATGACCAATTTTGGCTTTTCAAGTGGAATTTAGCGGTATTTTGATCACCATATGTAACTTCGTCTTTACGCGTCTGCTGGGGGTCTTTTGTATTCGTGGCCGACGAAACGTGACTAGATCCCAGTCTACCACATGAGGATTTCGTTACATAAACCTCACTCCGTTGGAGAGGATTGTGTGACGACCCAAAAGAATGTCACAAACTCTACAATTAAAATTTTTCCCCAAACTATTGCCATCTTTATGTGTACCAATTTTCTGACCTACAGGAGGTGCACTTTGATGTTGTCATGATCAGCACTCTCATTCATGAAATGGTTATCAGTCTTCAGCCATATACTAGCCTGCGTAGCAAGCGTTTCCAGTCGAATAGCGCGAAAGTTGGAGCGGGAGCAAAAAGAAAATGGAAGGGGGAGGAGGAAGGGAGGAGAGGAAACGCTGCAAGCGGTTCCTTCACTCCCCTCCCCCTCCCCCTTCATTCCTTTTTTTGCTCTCGTTCCACTCGCGCGGAACCGCTTGCTACGCAGGCTAGCCATATACCTTTACTCTACCTTTACTCTTTTCTGGTGGAAGGTCAGTCCATTTCAAAAAGGCAAGGACCTGTATTGAAAGGTCTGAAGAACGATATGGAAGTAGTTTTAAAATTAAAGCTTCTTCCATTCAGGCGCCACTTGTTTTGTTTTGTTTTTGCTTGAGGCGACATTCTAGCCTGCATAAATGGCGCTTTGTCAGCCAAGCGAGGCGACTGACGGCATAGTCGCGCCAATCGCGAGGCGAGGGGAGGAGAAAAAAAAATAACCAATTTGCGCCCTCAGCGCTGCTCTGTACTATCTGAACACCTGGAACATTCAGGCTATTCTGGCCGCACTAGAAGACTCGCCTGAGGCCGCAAGAAAGAACGACATGACCAAACGGGCTATGACCGTCTTGTTCAAGGGAGCAGAGCTGGGAACACTTTACTGTTTGCCATATCTTAAGTTCAACCGCTCCAAATGGAGGGCTTGCTCGAGGGTTACAAGGATTAACTGCAATGCATGCACCACGTGCACTTTCCTGGCTAGCCTGCGTGACAGGCGTTTGAAAGGGAAGTGGAACTCTTGAGCGCCCAAATTCCCCCTTCCCCTTCCCTTTTTAACGACTGCCACGCAGGCTATTTCCTGCATCCGTGTGAAACAATGGTCGTTGATTACTTGACAGTTGCAATTAGATAATCATTACCTAGGTCACTCTACCGTTTGCTTTCATAGGAGACACTACTGAATGCCTGTTTGACCACCCACCCGGGGAGGGTACTCCCATACATTACCTATACGGGTATGTGCCGCCCAACGGGGTAATGATTTTGAAGCTCCTGATTTAGAACGGGGTATCCATTTTAGAGGTGTTTTCTAGAACGGGGTATAATATTTCGAACGCAAGCTCCAGTTTTTTAAAGCCGACAAAAGAGTTAGAGGAAGAACATTTCAGAATATATTTATCAGCAAACCGGTATCCTCATTCCTGTAGGCAGCTATTTGAAATTATTCAAGGACAGGTTGCTTTTAAAATACGGTTCACTGCGCGCGTTAACAAGCAAACTGTTGTACTCTTGTTGCACCCTGAACGGAGTATAAAAAATTGGCTCATTTCGAGAACGGGGTATCAGTTTTAGGGCGAATTCTAGAACGGGGTATCAATTTTAGGGGAATTTTTTTCAGAACGGGGTGCCAATTTGGAGGCCCGGGCGGCACATACCCACCCAAAAAATGCCCAAGTGCCCCCGGGACCACCCATTTGCACTGCAGAACTTTCATTTTACCGAATTCCCGACACTAGGGAAAAAAACTCGCATCTCGTTCCCAAATTTTGGTGAATCCAGCTTCCTGGGTAGCATGCAGTAGAATCCTCTTTCCAGTCAAAACATTTTTGTTGCGTTTTCCCAAATCCCGCACCGAAAATACCCTTCCAGACCCTGAACATTTGCTTTTGAACAGTTTTTGGCTACAGTAGTTCTGAAAGAAGGATGTAGAATTTTTTAATCTAGTACGATATTGACACAACCCTAAACAGTTTTGTAGTTTTGAAAAGGGCTTACTGCACCAGGCCTTATACGTGCAATACTTTTAATTTCCTCATCACTACATTTGTGCCGGGCTTGAGAGGATGTGTAACTACAAGGTTTGTCTGTCGGTACGTTACTACTTAACGTTACTACGTCCCTCCTTACACAACTGCAGGTAACTTTCACTCCAAGGTGGTGGCCACCGTTGACCAAAGAGCAAAGGACTCTAGGGAATGAGATACTGTCGTTAGGACTCGGTGTCTAATGACTTCATACTCATTGCCAGTCGCTTCGGCGAGAAACTCGATGTGAATGTATCGTATCAAGGGAATTCGATCCGGACTCTTGCTCCGCGGCATTTCCCGCAGTGACTGAAAGCGAATGAAAGACCCCGTATGAATTCAACCTCGTTCCCAGGGGAGAAGCCCTGGGCCGAGAGAGGTTTGTATGAATTCATAACGAGGGAGCTTACGCAACACGACGGCACTGGCAATGAGAATGACGAAAAAATATTTGGTATAGCAACTCTGAACGTTGTTGTCCTCCCACGAAATTCAAATAGTTTCCAGGTTATTTGCCGTTCGAGATATGGAAAATCTCAACAAACGACGGGCAAGCAGTCCATGAATAAGACACCTTACCTAACCCGTCGTTTTCCGGCCATTAGGAAAGTTGAAAATGAAAGATTCTGATAGAACCGCAACAAACAGTGGCTATTTCAGTCGCTTGCAGAATTAATGCACCTATCAATATAAAGCAGGCGGGGGGGGGGGGGAGGCAGGGAGGCAGGGCATGGGGTGGGGATTTGATTGTCTTTTTTGGCCCTGGGGTAGGGCATTTGACTGATCTTGTTCTCCCAGGGAAGGGGATATTTGAATCTTTCTTCGCCCGACGTGGAGATATTTGACTGCCGACTCGGGCGAAAAAGACTGAGACCGAAAATATGTTTCCCGCTTCCACGCTTCACGCATGCGCCGTACGGTTTGAAAAGATCAGGAAGTCATGGAGGCCAATCAGAACAAGTGAAGGCTGAGTGGATTTCACTGTTTTGTCTTCAAATTTCGTTTGTTTTAGCGTGTTTTTGATCAATTGAACCTCTTAAAATACTAGGGTATCAAAGTAAACGGAAGTAAAGAGAGACCAAGTCGATTTTTGCAAGTACAATTGATTAGTGTATGGCTCATTCGCTACAATCACTATAAACTTATAAAACTGACTTTCTTTGTACCCTTTACTGAGAACGGTATATTTAAACTTACAAAATGTGGACTTTCTCTAAAGGTTTATGTATTCTACGTAGTGTAACACGGATTATGGTTAAAACGTATAATTGCAGCTGTAACAGGAACATGTATCTTTGGTGATGCAGCAACGTTTATAAAAGATTGCAGAGTTTAATTTGGAGATATTTTTATTGTGCCTTTCTTGGGTTCTGCCTTGGGATTGACAGCAATGTGCGGCCTGGGGTAGGGAAATTTGGTTGCATTTTGCATTTGACTGGAATGATTTGCCCATGGGCAGGGAATTTGATTGAAAATTTTTGAAAAAAGTCAAATCCCCACCCCATACCCTACCCCCCACCGGCATTACATTGATAGGTGCATAACTTTCGCCTACGATCTGCCAGGCATGGCACTCTTTCTATATAACACGTGCAAAACAAAAGGCGGGATATTAGATCATGCAGTCGCCCTTTGCAATATCAACAACTTAGCTTTCACTATCACGCGGTTTAAGCCGCATCGGTGTGTTCCGATCTCTACCTTTCAGACTACAAAATGGACGATCGCTACAGGATGGCGCTTTTATGTTCACGCTTTCACTCTTGCTAAGAGGAGTAAGGATGTTTCAGTGCTTTGTAGGCTTAGTCAGAACAAAGATCTAATTACTTGCCACGAAAAATGTCAGTTTAAATATTGATAGTTTTACTATTTCAATATATTGAAAAGCTGACACGGAGATTCTTTGAATTTGAGCATTCCTTAATGTTTATTTTGTTAGTCATGCTTTTAGAATGTACCTGAAAATATTCCGCCTTTCATATTAAAAAAGAAAAACTCTAAAACGATTCTTATTTTTTTGCATGTTATTTGTACCTTGTAATTACGAAAAGAATCAAGGAGAAGTCAAATGAAACCTTTTTTTTTTTTTCATTTCAAGTTTTTCGTTACTGAACATTTATGAAGGGAAACGCATTAGATAAAATCGCTTCAAACAAATCGCAGCATGTAAATAAATAATTGCTCCAGTCTATGCAAATACAGAGTTTTTTTTCTAGAGGATTGACATCTGTACGAAATTGTCATTATGATTTGCATTTTTAATCGTTTACTAAGTCAGAAATGTGAAAACAAAATATAAACATGTTTTGTACATTAAGCGACATTTTCTAACGCCGTTTTTTAAGGATGTTATTAATATAGTCTTTCTTTTCTACCTTACTTTACGTAAAGCATTAAGGGATGACCGAGCAACTGAACTAATTTTCACTTAATTTTACTCGGGAGTAAAGGCCACCATTCAAGGTTCAGGGGCTACGTTTTATTTAAATGTATTCGAAAAAAAAGAGTCCTCAGGAAAAGCAAATAAACGTCGAGTCAGTCGCACTCGCTAATATATTATTACCACGTTTGCACAGAATTAATTCGTCGGGCATTATCTAACGGACATGCATTTTCCCCAAGACATTTTAAGTGAGCCAGTTAATTTACCTTAGTTCCAAGAATATATTCAAGAACACATAAACCTATCATACCCTTTAAAAAAATGCATGTGTAAAAAAATTAACTTGAGGCTCATACACAATGATGGCTGTTTATCAAAAACTTCTCGCATTTTCAAAGGTTATTTTTTTTTTGAAAGGTAAAGTCCTGAGAAAAGCAGTGCGGAATTTTTCCTTCGTAAAGGCGTACAAAAGAGGGTTTAAGACGCAGTTAAAATAGCCGAAAGTTAAAAACGCAAACTCTAAACGAGCGAGGTGATTAGAGGGCTTTAAGAAATACATAGTGAATGTTAAAGTCGTGTATGGCAACCATAAGCCACAAATAGAACACAC